TCTATTCCTCGGATCATTTTTGTGGCCCTCCTCTGGACCCACTCCAACAGGTCCATGTCTTTTCTGTGCTGAGGGTTCCAGAGCTGGCCGCAGGACTCCAGGTGGGGTCTCCTGAGAGCAGAGTAAAGGGGCAGAATCCCCTCCCTCAACCTGCTGGCCACGCTTCTCTTGATGCAGCCCAGGATACGGTTGGGCTTCCGGGCCGCAAGATATGGTTGGCTTTCTGGGCTGCGAGTGCACATTCTCAGCTCATGTCCAACTTTTCATCCACCAGTACAGCCAAGTCCTTCTCGTCAGGGCTGCTCTCGATGCCTTCATCCCCCAGCCTGTATTGATACTGGAGGTTACCCTAATTCAGGTACGGGACCTTGCACTTGGCCTTGTTGAACGTCCTGAAGTTCACACTGTCTCATTTCTCAAGCCTGTGCGGGTCCCTCTGGATGGCATCCCATCCCTCAGGAGTGTCAGCCACACCACTCAGCTTGGTGTCATCTGCAGCTTTGCTGAGAGTGCACTTGATCCCCCTGTCTGTGCCACTGATGAAGATTTTAAACAGTACTGGCCCCAATATGGACCCCTGAGGGGTACCACTCGTTATGGATCTCCATCTGGACGTTGAGCGATGAACCACTAGTCTCTGGGTGTAGCATTTCATTTAATATGTGTAGTTGAATTGGAAAATTAAAGATGGATTGAAGTGTTATTAAAATATAAGAATTGTTCAGGGATATCCAAATTGGAATAAAGTCACACTGGGAGGGAAACATTCTCATTTAAAAGAAGTATGGAATCAATGAAAAAGGATATGGCTAAGAATATGTCAAATTAAAATACAGATACCAACAAGACAGGTCAAAATTATGTCATTACCATGATGCTTAAAGTAAGCAAGGAGGCTTTTCTTAAACAGTTTAGATTAAGAGGGGGAGGGCGGGAGGGGGAAACCCCTGAGGTAGTTTATATATTAAGTCATCTGCTGTATTAAGATGATAAAATTGTTTTATAGAAAATGAAAAATTACTCAATAGTTATTTATGTTCTGTGTGTGGAAGAGTGGAATAAAAATTTCACATCAGTTAAAAAGCAGGAAGTTCGGCAGCATCTTTTAAGATTAGCATTTTCAGGTAACAGGCCTAGCTAACTGAAGTCTAAGAACTTTGGTGAAAATGCAGTGTTTTCTGCTCTACTAGTGTCCATTTTTAATAAAAATTGGAAAACTACAAGAATTCCAAAGAACAGAATTACTATTTCAGGGTCTATAATCATGGCAAAGGGTATGATGTAGAGAAGTGAGGACAAGCTAGGCTTGCTTCATTCCTAACCAGTTGTAAAAGGATAGTTTGTTTGGTACACTCTTCAGCAAAAAACAAACAAACAAAAAAAAAATAACGACAGAAGTTGTAACTAATGCTGGTTAGTGTGATTTTTTAGGTGGGAGTTAACTGTGTTGCCATTTGGGGAAACTGGAGGGAGGGGATGATACAGGTTTAAAAAGGGTTGACTTTTTTGATTTATAAAAATAACTGAGTTGGTACAGTGTTCATAGTACAGGTGGATTTGCATCAAACATTTGTTTAAAAGCCACTGACATCTTATTTTTAACAAGTCTTTGTAGGAAGATAATAGGGTATCTGAGAACAGACTGTTACAAATAATTTGAATTGAATACCTAAGTGGCTACAATGCTATAAACAACCCCTTGTAATAGAACTAAATACCAGGTTGTACAACTGATTGTACAGAAATGCAGGTTGCAGCTGCAGGATAGTACAACTACTGAATGATATTTTGGAAAGAAGTGACCAGGAAGTGGGCTTAGAGTCATTGTGGAAAATGATGTGAGTGCTCAATGCAGTGATGGTCTTGTGTTCCTTGGTGAGATAAAACTAAGGTACCACGTACACCACTAGCAGGGCCCTACAGGAATGCTAGAACCTACCAGTATGTCTGATTCTGAAGTCCACATTCAAAAGGATTGTGGAAATACTGCAGGGAGTTCTGAAGTAAAGAGAAGTGATGAAAGCTAGGAGAACAGTCTTTCCTTTAAAAGGAACTCTTAAAAAAGTATAGATTACTTAGTCTGATAAAGAGAAGCCTTAGTGATGACCAAGATAACAGTGTAGAGGTATTTGTTGATTACACGTTGAAATAGTTTGCTAGGAAAGCTGATGCCTTCACCATGCATGGTGTCTTTAGGGTGTAACTAAATTTCAGCCTTCGGTTACCCAAATTCTCGTAGCTCCTAGATTCTGGAGTTCCTGTCAGTCCTATCAAACCAAGCCACAGCTGAACCAGAAATTCAAAGGGATTTCTAGACTTGATTTCTCTAGACATTTTTAAAATAAAACAATTCTGGTTTTTTTGAAGAAGTAATCTGAAAATCCTGGAGTTATGCAGTTTGTTCTGAAGCCATTTGGCTGAATTTTTTTTGGTTTTCTGTAAAATTAATATTCTGATTTCAATCAACTCTGGTATGAGTAGTTTCTTATTTGGATTCTATGATTCTGTATCATATTAACTATGGTTTCAGTCGTGATAGCTGGATATTCTTATGCTTTTAGAAACAGTCTGCATTTACAAAGATAAACTAAGTCTTCCCCTCTTTAGGCTCTGAAACACCTACCTGATCCTGTTACATTTTCCTTTGGCACCAGATCTTATATAGACTACTTGTACTTTTTGGATTCCTGTTGATGGTTTTACGTGGTAGATGAGGAAAGGGAACACATGAGAGAAATAATCAGTTTTAGTTATCAACTTCATTAACCTTGCAATTCTGTAATCTCTTTTTAAGTCTTAACTGTACGACCATTCTGATTTCCTGAAATCTACTGTGATGGTCAGTAAACATACCTAATTACCACTTCATTTATTGATGCTCTTTCTTTTTCAAGGTTACCCGTTATCTATGGGCTTTATTTCTTCAGGTGGAAGATTAATGGTTGGACTCAGCGATCTCAAAGGTCTTTTCCAACCAAAATGATTCCATGATTTCATGAGTCTGAGTCAAAAATTATTTTCATGTTGCTGTTTCATTCTAGTTTTAGACTTCAACAGGCAGTTTTCTGGATTTTCTTTTTTCTCATAGTGCTTCTTGGAGCTAAGTCTCCTAGAGAGTTTTGGCAATGATACTTAGAGAAAAAGAATATAATCTATAATACTTGTCTTCAGAAACATTCAATGTGTAATTTATTGCATGTATGCGTACATATACAGACACATATACACAGAGTTATTTCTTTGCTTGATCTTGAATATGGAACAGATGGTTGAGACAGTTATGACCATTGTGCTTGGCTTTAGAATAGTATAAGCCTATTGGTAAAGTTGTTTAGCAGCTGTTACCTTTCAGGATGTTCCAACTTCAGTCAGAAGAAGATATTGAGGGTTATGTAGTTAAGAGATTGTAGTAATTATGGCAAAATAATTAGGCTAAGATATTTCAGATTAAAAGTTAAATGCTCTTGTTAATGTATAAGCTAGTGCTAGCCAGTACTTGGAAAGTTATGGCTTTCATTTTTTCAAATGTAGTTTACTTTCAAAAGCTATAAAAAACCCACTGGTAGCAGGAAATTTGGTCCCTGTTGTCTAGTTTTAAAAGAAATTTCTGCACGGTGGAATCCAGCTTGGTACTTAAGCGATTTCATGGAAATATTCTTCACAAACTGTGGAGATAAAAGATTAGCATTTGAAAGAATGAGCTACTTTTCAGTTTCCAAAATATGACATTTAGGAAGGAAGTAGTTCTTGGTTTTGTATGCAACATTGGCAATACCATTTCAGGAAGAGAAAAAGCAGTTGCATGTTACTTGTTTGGGTTTTTTTTGTGCATTTTGGCCCTTCAGAGTGGTCATAAGTAGGCAGGGGAGGAGAGTACACCTGCATGGAAGTACCTCTGTGTGTTGAGGGAGGGAGGACAGCTTCCAGGCTGAAGGAACTGGCAAGAAGAGGAAGAAGCAGGGAGCAAGAGCAAGAGGAGAGCCTGCAACATAGCAGTGGGACCAAGAAAGCAGCGAGACAAGCATGGAGCAACTAGAGCTATGCCTCTGTAGCAACAGAAACTTTCTAGGAACAGGAGGCAACTGCATTAATTGTCTACAAACCAACAGCTGAATTACATGAAACCTGAGTGCAGATTTACTGCATGCAAAGACCTGTGCTTCAAAGGTGTAGCAGGCAGATATAGAATGATTTCTAGTCCCTTATTTTGAGTCTGCTCTACCTCATCAACTTGACATTTTCCTGTTTACAAAAAGTCACTTCTTTCTAGTTCTGTTCCAGTAAATCTGGCTTGTCAGTATAGCCTAGTTTCCTATCAGTCAGTTCTTGTGGGTGCCTCTTTAGTATGCAGGCTTTTTGGATTACCTTTGTCATCAGCCTAACTTGGTAAAGGGAGCCTAGGAATAAAAACTGTAGGAAGTGTGGAGTCTATAAGGAGCCAAATATCAAAGTGCTTAATTGACCAGAGAAGTTGTGGCTGCCCCCTCCCTGGCAGTGTTCCAGGCCAGATTGGATGGGGCTTTGAGCAGCCTGGTCTGGTGGAAGGTGTCCCTGCCCATGGCAGGGGGGTTGGAATGACATGATCTTTAAGGTCCCTTCCAACCCAAACCCGCAAACCATTCTATGATTCTAGGATAATATTTATTTGGCAGTGCGTGTGCTTTAAATTCTTTTTGTGTGGGTCTCATGGTTAAATATTACAATGTTAAATTAAAAATACGAATGGTGGTTCTTTGTTTTATTATCCATGTCCTTGACGTATTTCTAATGGGGTCTTAAAAGAAGTCATCTGTTATGTTCTTTTGTTGTCTCTGCTAATGAAACTATGAACTTTCTTTGGTTCTGATTGATTTTTAAGCCATGTTCCTAGCATCAGTGATTGAGTACATTCCCTTTGTTTATGTCAGAGATTTACTGCCCATTAACTTTGATTCTGTTGCTCCTGAGTGGCTTTACATTCCCATAAGATTAAATTCTTGTAAATGTTTTTCTCTTTGCAGTGAGGAGCTACGGAAAGAAGCACGACAGCTGAAACGTGAACTGCTGGAAGCAAAGCAGAAAAAAGAAGAGCAGGCTTTAAAACCCAAAGAAAAGGAAGGTAAGAGTATATCATAGCAGGTGTTGTGTAGATCTCCAGTTAACATTCCAGTTTTAAAGTATTTTTTGTTTCGTGTAGAGAAATGTGGACACTATATTTTAAAATGTAGATATTTTTTTCCAAGAAAAGTAGTTTTCTTTAAGAATGGTAGTAATATAAGGATGCCAGTATATAAAGAAGTTGTACAGGCAGCAAGTGTTCTTTCAAAGGATATGGTATTTCTCCTTCCAAACAGTCTTTAGATGCATCTGTGTAGTTGGGCAAGCTTCTGGATTTGAAATATTATGGCATATGATTGAATTCTTTGGTGGGACATGCGTGTTCTGACCTCTGACTTGGAAAGTCTTCTTGACATTCCAGCTTGGAAAGAGAGTTAAATGCAGATGGTTAACTTTGAACTCAAAGCTACTAACTTCAAACTTTTATGCATCTTATGACACCAGTGGAACTCAAATTCAGAACGTCATTTCCATATTTTTGATAAACCTTAGCAAAATGGGATCTTCAGATGCCCAATTCTTTGTCAGATAAATTTTATATTCTACTTCTTTCAAAGTGTGCAGAATTTTGTCATAGTTTGGGGGGTTTTCTTGGGGTTTTTTTACACAATACATTTTTTCTCACCACCCGATGGCCTATTTGCATCCAGTCCCTGAGTAGCAAGCACAGAACCCTGAAATCACAAATTCCTGAAAGAGTTAGAACACTCTGACAAGAAAGGATTCCAACTCACACGAGCGAGAGAGCAAGAAAGCGTACAGCCCACCCCCATTCACAAACGGAGCATGCCGTCCATGGTAAGGGATATTTCCACCAGCCACCTTGTGCTGCCTGCCTGGCTGTGCTCCCTCCCAGCTCCTGCACACCTGCTCATTACCTGAATATGGGAGACTGGAAAAAGTCCTTGATTTCATAGCAACGACTGAAAACATCCATGTTATCAACATTCTTCTTGTACTAAATCCAAAACACAGCAGCTACTGACAGGAAAATTAGCTCTGTCCCAGCCAAAACCAGGACAAATTGCTAAGTTTATAATAGCATGTAAGGTGCATGTTGTAGTTCAGGTGGGTTTAACACCTTTTATTAGCTGAACTGAAGGAAAAAAAAAAAAAGAACTGTTTTTTAAACACTCTGGAGTTGCTAGACACATTTCTGGAATGGATTCTTGGTCCAGTTACCATAAGAAATCTGGAAGAAAATATAAAATTATTCAGAAAAGTTTCCAGATTGACACACAAATTAGAAGAGAGGTAGAAAGTATAACATAATTTTTAGAAAAACTCATGAGCTTTCCTGAATAGCAGGTGAGCTTCATCAGCAACCAGTTTGGCAAAATAAAAAATACAGTATCTTGAACTTGTGTATGAAATCTGCCACCAAGTTTTACAAAGTAGTGGCTCTGAAAAAGTTCTAGGAATCATGCTCAATCACTGAATGAATATAAGTTCTCATTGGCAAGATAATGAATGCTGTTGCTAACCATATGAAAAAAGAACTGCAAGTAGAAGTGTAGAAGAGGTAAAGACTAGTCCTTACGTACATATATGATAAATTATGTTGAATAGTCCCATGTACGGCAATTGTAGTACTACCACTTAAACATTATCCCTGTTCTGATGCCATTTAAGTCAGAGGACTTACTGTGGAGTAATATGAATAAATCCACCTTTACAATGAGAGACTAAAGTAATACTTGGGCAATACTTGTAGCTACTACTATGGCAAGATTTTGAAGGATACCTTTTATTCAAGGAGACTGAGCTTATATACCAGGGTTGTTGGTTCTTTTAGTCTCTCTGAAATAAATAGCAGGTAGGATATAAACCTGTTGAAAATCTGTAGGCAACAGCTAATGGTGAAAATAATCTTGAATAATCTCGGTTTTCCTTTTTGTGATTACTGTCAGAGCACAGGAAGGGGTCTGTTCCAGTACCTGTTGAAAAAGATATATGGCAGGAAAGAACCTATTCAGCAAGTTCTTGGATTACTTAACTAAAAATTTGAAAAATAAACATGTTCTAAAATTTAAGACAAAATTAAAAAGACATTAAATAAGATGCAAATAGTGAAGGGCAGAATGATTAATGAAAATACAGTAACAGGAGACAAATGAGCAAGAAGAGAATTGGTTGCCTTTGGCTAAACAATGAGGAAAAAAGCATGAATGCTTGTTTTCACTCTGTCTTCAGCATAGTTGTCAACTTTGATTGTATGGTTACATATGATCAGTGACAGGAAGTGTTCAGGTACAGAACAAGCAATTGGAGACTACTTGGATAAATTAGGTGCATTTAAATCATTTGAACTTGATGGCATTCACTGAAGCGTATTCGGGAATTGGCTAAAAAAATCCCAGAGATATGAACATTAACAAAACAGTAACAAAATGCTTTAAGAGAACTGTTTCTAATCAAACTGGAAAAGAGGATTCCTGGGGATCTGCTTATTAGTGGTCCGGAGAAAACAACAGGTTACCATTATTACATCTGCAGACTGAAAAAATATATGGGATGGGGAAGGGTGAGAGGAAAGAAGAAAATGAAGAAAAACGCAAACTTACTTACTAAGATTGCATGTTCACATGCAGTTGTTAAAGTGAAGACCTGAGTGGCTCACTCTCTTTTCTTCCACTAGTCCATGTTGCAGCTTTTACTGATCTCATTCAGTTTAAACTGGAAGAAAAGTGATCCTTTTTTTCTTTGGTAGGATAGTATTGTGCTGGGTTGGTAGATGGAGTCGGTTCATAGAAGTTAAAAGCCAGGTCAAGGTAAACAAAATATGTTTACCTTGGGAAGTATCAGCAAAAAAAGATAATTATAATAAGTGGTTGGTACCTCTCTCACAAATTATGAGTTGCACAAGCACAAGATGTTAGGTAGTGTTTAGGCAGCTCAAAATCTAGGAAGCATAATAAGTAGAAAGCTGAGAGCAAGTTCATAGTGCCATACTATTGAAAAAGACTAAAGAGTACTGTAAAACTTATAAAATGACTGTTGTATGCAAGACAGGCTGGTTTTCTGTTCAGCCTGGGGAGGTCTTCAGCCTGAATCCTTTGCCCAGTTCTGGTGACTGCAGTTGGAGAAAAGATACAAGGCATCTTAAGGGAGCAGAGAGGAGAGCAGCAAAGGTGACTGATGATCTGGAAAGCATAATATTTGAAGATTGTAAGAACTGGGGCTGTTTAGTTTAGAGAAGAGCTTTCTTTGTAAAAGGAGACATATTAGTGATCATCAAGAATATTAAAGGCTACCATGGAGAAGAAATTATTCTATGTAATCCCTGTGGAGAGGACAGGAGATAGTAGGCTTCAGTTGCAGCTGGAGAGATTTAGGTTAAATGTTAGAGAAAATATTCTAAAGATAAGTATTGGAATAGATGCCCTATAAAGTGGAACTGTTTAATAGCAGATGAGGCAAATACTTCTTAGGACTGGCGTAGAAAAGGTTGCTCCTGCCTTTTGTGAGGGATGGGCTTAGATGTTCTGTTTTTCAAGATTCTGTGAAACACAACTTAATCAAAAGAAAGGTAAGATATGACGTGGAAGAAGGCTTTGAAGGGGAGGAGAGCAAAGCATCTTGCTAATGGCGATAATAGTTAGGTGGAAGCGTTTAACCAAAAGCATTGTGTGTACCATCACTATGAGTCTTTAGACCAAGCAGTTAAAATAAAGGCTTGGTTGTAGGTCTGCCAAAATAATTCAGTAAGACAGTACTCTCTTCATGTTTTGCTTTCTGTTAAAATAACTTACTCTGGTTATCTAGTGAGTTATTTTGTCTGTACCCTGAAAAGAGAAAATCAATGCCCTAATGACGTTTCCCTTTTTGAGGAAGTCTTGCACAAAGAAATGTAATTCACTGTTGAACAAAGGAAGTAAAAAATTTTCTGGTGGTAGAGAATCTACCATTACAAAATCCACTCCCAAAGAAAAAACATAAAAAAATTCATTAAACATAGTTGATACGGTCCTAAAGGAGAGGAGACTATTCCTACATTTAGCTAGAATGAACGTTTAGTCCTTAAAGGTGATGACTGAAAGGCAGATGGGAGATTTTCTGTATACCTGGCCTATAGTTTGGATTATAAAGGATTCTGGATTAAATGTAAGAACAGCTTTAATTAAGAGATAAGTTTATGATGGCAGACATTTAAAAGTGATCAAAACACCATTGTAAAATACCAGAATTTATAGAGCATGGTCTTTTCATTAGATATTTAATTGAAAAATACATTAATGATCCTCTGTCTAGCTGTGGACGCATATTGACACTGGCAGCATAGAATAGGCATGAAGTTGCCACAAATACCCTGTGTTTTGACACCAGAATTTAGTGAAACCAATATAATAAATTTAAAACTACTAATTATGTAAACAAAATACGTAGTTGTGATCTCTTGTAGTTGTGATTCTCCTCTGTGAATAACTAGTTTTGCCAAAAGGGATGGCCCTATAGGATAACCACAAATAGTCTTTGGGAAAAGGCTTTATTTATAAAGCAATAAAATTTGTACTCTCCCATTCCTGCTTCTAAGTGATTTGTGTGGTGTCTAATAAAATCCATGTATTAATAGCTAGGTAAATAATCAAAACTTACTTTCTGGTCTTCTTCATCTATGCTTTAATATTTCTTCTACCTCTAAATTTTTTTCCAGCTCTCAGTTTAGATGTTTTTTCAGAGCCAGCAGCAATAAAACCAGAACAAGGTAGAGATTCAAGCTTAAGTACATTCTTTTAATCTGTCCTTAGAAGTTCGGGAGTCAGATTGTCTTTGCTAATTTATCAGGACAACAGCTCACTTGTGAGTACTGCCAAAACTCAGACTAAGAGGGAGGAACTGAGCTTTCAAATAAAGGAGAGATCTGAAAAGCAGGGTGTCTTTTTGCAGCATTTTACAGATCACTTTGTGTATGTCATTTGAAGTTCCATTTTAGTAAGGAAGCTTTCTGTCTTTACAGAATCAAGAATAACAACAGCATGTTCTGTGCCTTAGGATGCTGGG